GTGCGTGGTGTGGGGGGGGGGGCGTAGAGGGCACCTCCCTGAAATGAGAAGTGCACCTCCCTGAAATGGCTTCTTTCAGGTTGGGATCCCTGAGATATGGATAGTTGTAGCAGTATGCTTTGGGCCTTTTATATCTGGATATGTACTGGATCTAGATATGGATAGTTGTAGTAGTATGCCTTGGGCCTTTTACATATGGATATGTACTGGATCTAGATATGGATAGTTGTAGCAGTATGCCTTGGGCCTTTTACATCTGGATATCTACTGGTTCTAGATATGGATAGTTGTAGTATGCCTTGGTCCTTTTACATATGGATATGTACTGGATCTAGATATGGATAGTTGTAATAGTATGCCTTGGACTTTTTACATCTGGATAGATCTTGCAGCCACTCATATAGCATTCTCAATCCCAGCTGTGAGGGGGAGCAGGTCATCCACTCAGTTACAGGTAGATGATTGATTACTAGATAGAAAGATATAGAGGAAGAGAGAAATATTTTTTGTTTAATACATATTATGGACTCCTGTAACAGTTAGTTTTTTTTTTAAAAATGCAAGTATTCATTAACACAAACTAATGGATCCTAACAAATTAAAATGGGGCAACATTTCTGTGGAATGAATTTACAAATTTCAACAACTGGATCGCTTATATCTATTTACAGTTTTTATTCACTTAACAACACATACCTGGTTTGGTTAGTTTTATGTTGTTAGAAAACATATCCTAGGCTGAAATTCTTAATTAAATAACAAACATACTAGGGATTCCACCCAAGAATATACATTGGGAATTTGCGTTATTTAAATAATGATGGCCTATATTGATTTCGGGAAAGGAGCACCACATCAAAGAGAGACATTAATTAATTTCAACAAACAGGTTTACGAGGGATTCATGTCAGAGAAAGCAGAGCAGAAGATGTCATGCAGTGACAAGTCAGATACACATGTTGAGTATGTAAATTACAAATAACTATGCGTAGGCAAATGCCAATCATGTGTACATCATGTGAAGATGGCTTTTCACATGGAGCTATTTATATTTATGCCCCTCGGGGAACTTAAAGGATTTTCCCTATCACAATATATTTCCACTCTAGCTATATTGAAATGTATAGGACCACACATAGCTGATTGTGAAGGCTGAAGCATGCTTGTAAGTGCACCTTCTAAAGCTCCAATCAGAACCCAACCTGCAATGGTCAGGTTCAGCACAGCGAATTTTGATTGTTTGAATGTTACACATAGTTATCAGTTGGTGAAATGGTGGGGGCTTAAAACGTTAACTTCCTACTGTGCATCAGATAGAGGGAATGTGACTCTTTTGGAAGTCCATCTTTCCTCCTCAGTTGCCCTCGTTTTTGTTTTTATCTGATGCATACATTTCTCAAAAAATGCACTATTTAAAAATACATGGTTGCCTTGCCTATGCAGGGCAAAGTGGAAGTGTTTCTAGAAAGGGCACCTCTAGACCCCCTTTTACCTTACATGTTGTTCATAGCAGTTGTTTGCTCCCCTGCAACCAGCAACGTGACCCGGCACTTCCTGGTATTAAAGAGCATACACGCACACACCTGCTCATAAATGCATACACGCAATAGGTTGGACTTGATGGACTTATGTCTTTATTCAACCTCAAATACTATTTAACTATGTTACTATGTAACCTGCTCTCTTGTGCCAGGCACTGTCAGATGACTGGGGAAGTGATGTCGATAGCCAATTTCAGTGCCGGCTATAGAGGGGCAAGGAGCTGTGAACATAGGCAAGTTACAGTACATAAGTAGGGGTCGAGGGATGCTTTCTTCAGAGACACTGTCACCTTGGCCTGTATGGACAAGGTAACAATGTATTTTTAACTATCAAGTGTTATATTGTTATTATTACTAAATTATAATTTTTTTTACTTTGAAAAGCCATAATTAAGTAAATGTTTTAGTAAAAAAAAAAGTAGAAAATGGAATATCCCTCTGCACTCCTTACAGCGTTCCTGGCCCAAATTGTAATGATGGTGCTCGCAGTGATAATCACGGACGGCACCGTGCACATCAACAATAGAAAGCAGGAATCACCAGCACTCAATAAATAGTTTTCAAATAGTAGACATCCATTTAATCGGACATAACGTCACAAACGAAAGAACCAACGCTTCGGGGCCGCACAGGGTCCCTTCATCAGGGTAATAATGTAATAACCAGGAGAAGTGAACAATCTAGGACAAAATAGCTGATTTGGAAAAATTCTCCAATTCAGCTCACTTTCCAGTTCAGCAATGTTGTCGTAGATTGTTCACTTCTCCTGCCTTCTACAAACTCTTCACCTTTTTGTGAATAATCCTGTAAATCATACTTTTGCTTGTATCGTCATGTAATTCCTTTATACCGCTTAATCACTGTTTACTTAAATTGACTTCAGAAGTTGAATTCTGATCAGTTAACTGTGCGCTATTGTTTAAAGCTCAGTACATTAAATAATATTTTTGCAATTTATATATGTGTATGATTGTAATTACATGCAGTCTTTAGAATACACTAAACCTAACACCCAGGACACAAAATGTAACTGAAAGACGTATGCTTACAGGAATGAATGCACAGAAATACCTAAACGAATTCCTTAGAGTAATTAAACTACACCCATGTGTATGATATTTGAAGTCACACACACTACAGTAAAACTTTGTTCAACAGGTTATCTGAAACTATGCAGTAGCGTGTGTGTGGCAGGATTGTGGACACATTGTATATGTGTCACCTAGGTTTCTCACCTAAACATGGTGAGGGCCTCCATGGTTGATGATTGATATGGAGAAAATAAATGAAAGGTTTCCTCAGAATGTCAATAGGTTCTGTTGTGGGTCCTGGAGCCCGGAAGCTTTGTAGATCTTTAGGTAGGAAAAAGCCTCCACTGCTTGGTCCACATCTTACCTGATATCCAATTCTCATTATTAGTCTCAGCTAAGTACAGACCTTTATATATGCGAGCTGACTGATGCTCTGTGCTTTTAAAGCCTGCTGCTGGGTGAAATGGCTAACTGCTGACAGAACACTAAAACGGTACAAGTGCTCGCTGTTTGTTTCGGGGAGCCCAATAGGGGACACCCTATTAGTCAGGAATTGATATAAGTTTAGTTAGTGGCTCCGATGAGCAGATGTTTTGGATTTTAACGCTATAGATTTGCTGTACAAAGGCCTTCTGCATTAAACTGTGTCTGTTTGCTTCCCTGCTGAAAAAAAGTGTAGGACAAACCTGCTTGAACTCTTCCGGGGCGTCCATCTCTCATGGTTTCCTGCTGCTAGGGCCCTAGCAACCAATGACACTATATGTGACAATATGTTATGTAGAACTGGCCAGAGGGCCATTAACAGGCTCTAGAGGTATACCCAGGCTTGAGGCTTCACAGGCTTCATAGGGGTATAGCTGTAATGCTGTATGTTGCCTATGAGTGGACTTTGAAACCTTCCCAAGAACAGGAACTATATGGACTTTCAGTGCAGCTATGTGCCATTACAGCTATGCCCCACCTGTATGCGTGTGTGTATATATATATTTTGGGATCGGAACTCCAAAAATAATATTGTTGGAGGTAGGAGAATGCCCATTATTACCTGTATTTGGAAACAAAAGTTCAGAAATAATTCATAACCTGCTTTATTTTGTACTGTAATATAATAGTCTTAAATATAGTAAATACAGTCTGTATGAGTTCATGGTTTTCTTGAATATATGATAAATGCCTTATAATAATTCCTTACTGTTCATGCTTATTCACTTAGGATATAACTACATTATTGCAGTCCAGCAATTCTCAGATTGTAAGATAGCTTTCATATCTGAGGCATGCCATTCAGTTTAGTGAGACATAAACAGCTGCTTCTGCATTTCACTGCATTTACTGAGTGCCTAGGGCTTTCCTCGCTCTGGCCTATTTCATACAAGGCAACACAATGATTGAAGGAAAATTAAACCAATTAAAATATCAGTGTAATAGTTTTCTTCTTAATACACACTTTTATACATGGGTTGGGATAAGGTTATGAAGACACTGTATATAGTTTCATAGAATGCATTGTTCCTATGTGATAAGATTGGTGTTCATCCTTCAATTCAATGAGCCAGGACAAGAGATCCTTTATGCTGATTCTGACTAAAATTAATGTGCAGCAATATTTTTTCAGATTATTTATTTTTTTCGTTTGCAGAAATTACAGAGTAGTCTGTACCAACAGAAGGTGTAAAAGTCTCCACATTTATACAGTATAGTTATCGGTGGAGGACACCAACTGGACCTAACTGTGGAACTCAACTGTCAACATTGTATTCAAATACATTAAGATTTAGAAAACTAGCACTTTGTTTTTATTAAAACATTTTTAAGACTATTTACTTCATGAAATATAAAAAGCAATTATGTGTTGATATTAAGATTAATATACAGGATTTATATTAACAGTTTGTAATCTTGATAAGAGGGTCTTTGTCTGTGAGAGCTTACAATCTAAAAATGTGTTAAAATACCTGTTGTGTTTTTTAATAAAAACATATATTTCAGAAAACACCTTTTAACAGTGGAAACCTGTAACTAAGAAAAGAGTACTTGGTCATGCTGAAGCTAACGGTACAAACCAATGATAAGAAATACCATAAAAAATTTTTTTAAATATATATACATATAGTGGGCTGTACAATTTGGTACACCAGGCTCAGTTGGATCCAGGTGGTGGATGCTCAGTGAACAAGGAGAGGTAGCAAATGAGCTCAAGGTTAATACAGCAATTGGGCATCTATCAGGGAAGAGCAAAGAAAGCTGGAAGGCAAAGAATAAAGAAGGGATGTTCTTCACACTTCATAGCAGTTCTTTGGAGAGGCTAATACAGGTGTTTAGGCATGAATGTATGGACCTGTATTTCATGGACCTCTATTAATGCTCATGAGAGTTCTTGTTTAACATGCAGTACAGTGACAGTAAACTCAGGTGTTAAATCTTAAAAAAAATGTCAAGTGCCTAACTATAAACAAAAATGTATCTTATTTGTGTATCACTCGGCTGTAGATCCTCAAATCATCTCTGAATCGGTGCTGACACTGTCCTTCCTTCTGGAGGGCGGCTACTTTTGTTCCCCGTTGTCCCTGTGTGTATTGTAAAGTAGTCACCGCTCCAAGCTCACTCCCCTGATAGACTATAACCCCAATACAAATGAGTAAACTATACATGAGATTGTAGTCCATCACAGGAGTGAGCTTGGAGCGGTGACTACTTTACAGCACACACAGGGACCATGGGGAACACAAGTATCCCCCCTCTAGAAGGAAGGACAGTGTCAGCACCAATTCAGAGATGATTTAAGTATCTAAAGCTGAGTGATACACAAATAAGATACATTTTTGTTAATAGTTAAGGTACTTGAATGCATTTTTAAGATTTAACTCCTGAGTTTAGTGTCACTTTAATGTTTTATAAGTTATTTTTAATCAATTCAGGGCATTCTGTTCTTCAAAAAGAAGAAAGAAAAAAAAGAACCTATGAAGCTACTGTCAGGAACATCTTGGAATTCATAGGGCTCCTGTTTTCCTGCATGCAAGCATTCTCCGGTGGTGCTAGTAATAGTAGTGTCATCTTGTAGAAAAGCTAGGTCACTGCAAGCTTTAGTTCTCATTAATTGTCTTTATTTTTATTTATTTTCGATAACCCTTTTGCTTCCAAGCCAATTGTTATATTTTTCCCCCCACACACGAAAAAAAATATGCATTTGTGGCCTGAAAATATATTCAGCATTGGACCTGAAGAATAAAAAAAGTTAGATGCAATGTTTTTATGTTGCGTGACATTTGCCCGTGATATTTATCAAATCTACATTTGCATAAATAAATGTTCAGATTAATTTCAGTACGCGCAAACACAATATATAATCAATTTTTTTTTTAAATAAAATATTAAATATCAGTCTATGTTGAGTAAATAGAAGTCAAGCTGTCTGCGTCTTCGAAATGGCAAAAAAAAATAGGATAACCAAAATTGCACATAGGCTTCGGCGGGCAGCAGCGTTGTTCGTTCTCGGCAGGCAGCGGCGAGTTGGGAAGCTCACTGGGAGGAGAGGGCCAGACACATGTCCTCAGCGTGGGCGCGGCGTGGGCGCGGCGTCGCGTGACACCAGCGTAGGCGCGAGCGGCTTAACTGACGTGGGCGTGGCGTAAGCGGCGGGCGTAAGCAGCGTGCGTGAGCGGCATGCAGCGGCAAACGGGAAATTTGAATTTTAGCCGCTGAATCGACGATGGAAAACGTTGGCAACGTTTTCCATCGCCGATTTTAATCGACTTAATCGAATAATTGTTGCAGCTCTAGGCAACACATTAAACGCCTTTACAGCTTATCAATTCAGAGTTAACCCTAAATGATGTCCTTAAAAGTATTCCTCTCACTCTAGTGTGTGTGGGGATGCCTAATAATCTAATATGTGTATCTACTATATGTAAGCCAGGAGCCTGCAGTTTAATTCTAATTGGAGCCATGAACTTGTTTTAACCCTTTGGCCGCCATGGCGTATAGGGCACACCCTTGGCACTCTAAGGTTAAAGAGTAGCTAAAGCCAAGGACAGGCCAAGTTTTTACTGCGGTCAACAGTGTCCCTGATAGGTCCCAGCTCACCTTCACTGTTTGTCCTGGTGACCATTTTCACTGAAACAGAAGGTGATGGAAAATCCACATTTTTACAGAAATTGAGAAAAATCTTTGAATAGAGACACTTGTTTTAGTGACAATGAGACCATTCCCAAGCTGTCCACAATTTGCTGAACCTCAGTCTATATCCTAACAACCAATGATGCTATGCAGCGTGCACATTGTCCGTGGTTCACCAGTGGCTGATTCGCACCTTGCCATTGGTTGCTAACATGTTGATGGCCGCACAGTATTGTTGATTGTTATTGTGCACTCGCCTGCATCCTAGCAACCAATGATACTGTGCAGCACAGCTGCCAATGCCCTAGCAACCAATGATACTGGGCAAATAGAAACCTGGACAGGACACACACAAATACAACTATTTACACATAATATACTCTTCACTTCCTGTCCTGTAAACATGATACTTGCAGTCAAAGAGCTTGAAAGTTTTTATTGGATGCCCAATTATCTATTGAGACTTGAAGCACTAGAGGGAGCTCAGCTAATGCAAAACAAACTGAGGATGATGACTCATAATTGTGTCTTCAGATTACATTCAGAATTTGTTTAGGCACCTGAGTTCAGGGTCCTTTTTCTTCCTAATACCTAAGTCTCAGAGCATTTATTTCTTTTGCCAATTTCTTTATGTAGTTGCTTACATGCTGGCACCATTGATAGCCCTATCAGTGAGGCTTGCATTGAAAATGGCCATTTATTGTTATTATTATTATACAGGATTTAAATAGCGCCAACAGTTTGCACAGTGCTTTACGATATAGGAGGGAGTTGCAATAGTCAAGACGAGAGATAACAAGTGAGTGGATGAGTAGTTTTACGATTTTATTGGTGAGGAATTTTGGAGATGTTGCGAAGGTGGCAGGATTTGGATTGTGACTGGATGTGGGGCAGAAAGGTGAGGTTGGAGTCACGGATCACACCTAGCACCTCGGCATAGGGGCAGTGGTGTATCCTGGTTTGGGGCTGCCCTAGGCAAGGCAAAACTGACCCCGCAGAGCCCACCACAGATCCTGCAAAGCCCCCTGAGACCCAGAAAATCCCCCCATAGATCCTGCAGAGACCCCCTGAGACCCTGCAGTCTGCCGGATCTCAGGGGGACTGTGCACGATCAGTGGTGGGCTTTGGAGGCTGCAGAGCCCCTACGGATCCTGCAAAGCCCCCCACAGATCCTGCAGAGACCCCCTGAGACCCTGCATTCTGCCGGATTTCACGAGGGCTATGCCGAATCTGTAGTGGGCTTTGCAGGCTGCAGAGCCCCCTACGGATTCTGCAAATCGCCTCTGTGCAGAATCTATGCACAGCCCACCACAAATCTATGCCCTGCCAGCACAGTCGTCCTCCTACCTGGCACGGGAAACCCATCCTCCTCTGTCCTCACCCTGCCTCTTTCATCTCCGCCCCATCTCCACTGTCGCCGCCCCCTGCCTGCGGCCGCTACGTCCTCGTTTCCTCCTGATCCCTCGCCCGCCGCTTCTTCCCTGTTCTAATTAGGTAGCCAGGCTGCCGGTTTCTGTGCAGCCCGTCTGCCTAAATGTTTTGGGGGGTGGCATTTTTGCCGCCCCAATGTAATCTGCTGCCCAAGGCAAGCGCCTTGTTTGCCT